AATCTTTGGTAAAAAGTCAAATTTAATGAAGTTAATATGATGCATCAGCAGTCTGAGTTTGTAGTAGTCAAGTGTTCCAAGGTGCAGTGTTAAATGCCCTCTTTCCGTTTCTCCAAGCTGTTTACTTGATGTGTTGCAGCCAAAGTACAGTATTACAAAGATGGAATTTCTCACTAAAAGTAACACTATGGACAGGAGAAATTATTATAGCAAACAAACCTGTTTCTGTGTGGTTAAAACTGCCCAGGAATTAGTATATAGTATATAGTATTCTTCCCAGGAGATGCCTTCAAAGACCTAAGACTTTCCCACCTGCTGGCTGTGAGATACATTCTTCTTCTTCTTTATCTAACCTACCCTGTGTGTCCAGCATTCCCATGGCCATTAGCTGTAGATAGAATCACTGATGTAGTCATAAACAAATGTTTCATTATCCTACCCTATGGCTTTTTAATAAATATATACATAGATGGGTTTGCTCTCAGTTACATCTTTGGCTTAAGCACCCAAACACACACTCAGTTGCCAGTTCATTATGTCCACCCATCTAAAACTAATCTGCTCTATTACACAGCTCTGCAATAGATCCCACTTTTATGGAGGCTCTCCTGGTGATTCAACCCTGTGGTCATTTGGAGGCTGTAGACTATATTGTATTATACCAAGGTGTTTCTACTTTACTCTCAGAGTCCTTCTGTGTGGAGTTTGCATGTTCTCTCTGTGTCAGGTGAGTTTTCTCCAGGTACTCCAGCTTCCTCCCACAGTCCAAAGACATGCAGGTTAACTGGTGACTCTAAATTGGTTGTCTGTCTCTATGTGTCAGCCCTGAGATAGTCAGGCGACCTGTCCAGGGTGTACCCTGCCTCTCGCTCAATGTCAGTGGGATAGGCTCCAGCCCTCTGCGACACCCAACAGGATAAGCGGTTACAAAAAATGAATGAATTAAAGAATACTCTCAGTAATATAAATGGGGTGAATATGATCTTTAAAACATTTCAGTATTAAAATATTATAATTTAACAGCAACAGACATAGAGAAACACTTAAGTCATGAGTCAAAGTAAAAAGTAAAAAGTTTTGTTTTCTTCTCAGATTTGATCTATTCTGTTCTCTCCCCCTCTCTATATATACAAATATATATATGTTGCAGGGATGGCACTGTATGAGAATTGTTGATCTGCAGGAGAGCACATTTTTGAAAGCACTACAGAAGCAATACATAATATTTCAAATTCACCTGGCGCCTGACTTTTACGTTTTCCTTCACATTAATAATTTCCACCATAAATTGATGCAAAAAAAGCACAAGTTAGTGCATGAAAATTCATCAGTATGAAGGAAACAAAGCGTTTCACGCTCAAAATTTCCTGGGCAAGGACCCCCACACATCCCACAATTAATATGTGACTATTCTGTAAAAGGTTGATTTGTATTTTCTGCATTTCCCCACACATAAAGTTGTACATTTTTAAAGACTTCTAATCATTATCTGGAATTAAACTCGTGTTGAAGTCCTTCATTTTTGTTTGCAAGTTGTCAAATTTTTATCTTAGGTCTGTATTCATTCATTCATCTGTATTCCATTCTCTTGTACTACTGTACATAACTGTTTGAATCATGTATATTTATATATACCATTAGCACAACTGTACACACTGTATAGTTTTCATACTGTACTACAATTTATAGACATAGCCTGCTCATAGCATGTACGTACCTGTAGAAATAGGCGTATTTATATATCATTCATACCCTCCACCCTGTATATTAACCTGTACATATGTTATTTAATTACTGCTTATGCACTTCTGCTTAGATGCAATCTGCATTTCGTTGCTCTGTACTTGTGGCATGTGCAATGACAATAAAGTTGAATCTAATCTATATTTATGCGTATTATGTGTAATTAATAGTGTCCATTTGTCTGTCTGTGCTGGCCAGCCTCGGGGAGGGACAGGGTGAGGTTGGGTGTTGGGGGTATATATTCCATGGTTGTTTTAATGTCTTGGTTGTGTTTAAAACCAATAAAAATAACTGAATAATAATACAAGTTGTAAAATTTGCTAAGTTGACAGAAAAATCCTGAGGACATGACCCCAGAGACACTGTACATATGGACCTGACCACAAGCTACACTCTAAAAAATGTCCATAAAGTTGAATCAACAACTATCTAAAATCTTTTCAACATGGACATTGAATGCCTCATGAAGATAAGATGCATTGCAGGGCTGCTGTAATAAATGTGTCTATCTAATAAACATTTTTTTCTACTATCATGCTATTAAAATAGTTCTGTAGAGCTTTAAATGGTTAAAATTTAACAGTCATTCTTACCGAGTGGAGGTTCCCTTCCTGACATCACACATCATGCACTTAAACGCCTCAGCGGTGTTCTTGAACGTGCACACGCTACAGTCCCAGTACCCGTCGTCGGCGGAGGGCTTCGATTGCCGCTTTGGCCTTCAGACAAAAACAAAACATAAACACTGAGATAACGACACATTTCCAATGAGCGCAGTGATTTCAAAGAAACCCTGTCATGTAACGATGGCCCCAACGGGAAAGACACGACTTGTAAAGTTCTTCTCAGCTCGGCAGTCAGTCATTGAGAGAAGGGGAGCTTTCAGTTTCACACAGGCAGTTGCCCCATATTAAAGCAGCAGCAGCGGCAGCAGCAGCCAGCCGCCATGAACACTTCAGTGTAACAGCTCCATCCATTGACCGAGCTTTCTGCTCTCTAACGGCCCGATAAAGTCTTCAAGCACAGACACTAGCGACAGCTTTACCTGGTGGGGCTCTTCTTGTCTGCCATGCTACCACACTCGGAGTCAGTGGAGTTAAAAAGGGTCTATGTTACAGGTGAAAAAACGCATTTAGCTGCTACTCAGCTGTCGTGGAAACTCCTGTCGAAGGACGGTCACGTGACGCGGGCTCACCCAATCACCTTTAATGTAATCACAACAGAGGCAGCAATAAATGTGACACAACACTGACACTGATGAAAGGCGCTTTGTAAATTTAACAGCGTGGTAAAAGAAGGAAGGTGCCGCACGTAGCCACGGTTAGGAGGAATGGGGAAGTAAAATGGAGCCTACACAAATGCTGATTACAAATCTGAGCTGCAAATGTGCAATAAACTGACTCATTAATAGGAATAAGTGGGCTGTGTTTTTGTTTGTTTGAACAATGATTTTGTGGTAGTAACAGGGGTGGATTAACATTCAATGGGCCCCTGGGCAAAGATATGTAAAGGGCCCCCTCACCTCTCCTTCATAGGAGCAAGACACAAGCCCCTTCTACACAGCTGGTTCAAGGCACTGTTATGCTGCCTCACCGTGCTGTTTATAATTTTTAATTTTATATACTTTATTAATCCCCAAGGGGCAATTCATTATTTTCACTCTGTTGTCATATATATATATATATATATATATATATATATATATATATATATATATACATATACATATACACACAGGCCCCAAATACACACACATGCACAAACAGGACCTAAATGTGCATTAAATGATGAGCTCAGAGAAAGGGGGCTGCCCTAGACAGGCGTCCCGAGCAGTTGGGGCTTTGGTGCCATGCTCAGGGGCACCTTGGCAGGGCCCAGGAAGTGAACTGGAACCTTGATGCTCCATACTTGGTCCAGACAGGGACTTGAATCAGCAGCCTTCTGGTTTCCAATCCAAGTCCCTACTGCTGCCCTAAAATACGATTGTGGAATCTAATTGCCATGGGAGGTAGTAACATCGCCATAACAGTGTCTGTATAAACAGGACAGTCTGCAGGATGGTGACGTTTTGACAATGTGTTATGTGCTCAACCTACTACGGGCGATTCAAAAAGTAGCTCTTAGCAATTAGTGGATGACTCAAAGAAAGACAGCGACAGTAAATGTCCAGAAATTGGGAAAACTATTAAGTCTGGGAGCTCCTTACCCTCCGAGTAGAGGAACAGATCAGCTGCCATATAACAGGGACAGTAAATGATTGCTATTGACATGTAGTTGCCATTGTTGTTGTTTAGAAAGTGCTGCTGAAATGTATGTCACACTAGAGGTTGATGCTGACGTTACGTCATGCCTCTTTTGATTTCGCAAAGCCGCAATGCTGTTTATAATCACACACTAAATACACACTGTGTAAACCTGCAAATGAGGCATAAAGGTGGGACTTAGCAGCGGCCCTATAGTGTGATCTCAGTATAAAAAAGGCTACACACACTTTAAAGTTGTTTAGCCTCTTTGTGGGTCGTTGTTTTGCATCTCCTAGTAGCCATAATGCATCTTTTTGTGGTTTTGTGTCTCTTTGATATCTCTTTTGCTCATTTGGTGTGTTGGTTTGACTGGCATCTGGAGTCACCCTCAAGTGGCTGTTCTAAGAAATGGCTTCACTTTTTAGCTCTGGAGGTTGCTCACTGACTGAAACACAAATACTGCAAAAAAAAGTGACTAAATAATGAAGTTGCAATAAATAATTACAAGCAAAAATTATTTGTGTGAGCGGTATTTGGTGTATATCTCTCCTCTACATCATAGAGGCAAATATTGTACTTTTACCTCATTTATTTGACAGCCACAGTTAAATCAGATGAAGATTTGTACATAGGCATCAACCTATGATGAGTTTAGAAACTATAATACATTGATTAATACTAATGATTACATTCCCCAACAGTATATAGATTAGCTCTACACTGACAACCTACAATATTAAAATGCTTCCTACAATAAAACATGAATTATGATACAATTATAATATAAACTATGGCACTGAAAAGGGCCATTTGCTGTTAAATGTGTACTTTTATTTTTGTTATTTCGATTTAAATATCTTCACCTTTGATTAAGTATTTTTACATTACAGTATTGCGACTTTTATTGAAGAATAAGCTCTTCCCCGGCTGGCCAACAACAGAAAGTAGAAGTTCCCATCATTGGCCACCAGAGGGCGGTAGCGCATGTCCAACCGGAAGTACGTTGTTCAGCGGAGGAAGAGCATCCATAGCCAGGACTGTTATGGTTGCACAGGGACAGCACATGGAGAGGAACATCTGGGCTGATGTGTAGTTTTGATTTAAGTTTAAGAGTCCCGTTGCGATAGGAGGAGTATGTAAAACGCGCTGTGAGGCCAGGAGTGTTAAAATCATTATTTGGTGAGTGAGTTTCTTACGACTTCCGCTTGTGCTGTGATGCTAATTAGCTAAGGTTGCTAACAACAGCATAGCCATAAAAGCATGAAACATTTCAGTAAAAACTCACTTTTGGACATTTACAGTCGTGTCTATTCAATGTGAAATCACACTGCAATCTCTCATACGGACATTTAACACTCCCAGACGGTCTTTATGTACATCGGATATTGTCAGTTTAAATGAGAAGTGATTTAAAGAGTTTCTTCTGCAGAAGCCACCGTTTCGGAAAAGCGATGGACAAGCATGCCTGTGGTGGGAGATATATAACTATCATCACTGTTGAATCAATCCGATATTTAAAATAGTGGCGTAGATAAACAGTTGGGTGGTTTTGCATGTCAAAAAAACAGGACTATGTGAATGGCAAGAAGTTGTGGCAGAGTTTCTGTCTGTCATCCTCCATCAGTCACATCCCTCCTGTCCTTCAGCACCTTCACCCTTAAGACCTGACTCCTCACCTTTAAGGTAATCCACAGCCGAGCTCCTCTGTGCCTCTCCGAGCTCTTGCACATCCACACCCCCTCCTGCACTCTTAGGTCTTCCTCCTCTGTCCCACTGACTGTCCCTCTTTACTCCAGCCCCCTGAGCAGAGTGGGATTTACAGCCGTCAGCCTCCGCTCCACCGGAACTCCGTAAAATCACCCCACTCCCATCAAATCCCGCCTTAATACTCATATCCTAAAATAGCCTCTTCAGGCACATCAATCATTCACACAGACCTCTGTCACTGTAAACTTGTGGTGACCTTGAGTGTCTTAATAGGTGCTTATAAAAAAAAACGCATTGTTATTATTATTAGTTATGGGTGGGGAAGGTGTAGATGTCATTGAACTGATGCCAACATGTGCATGTGTGTGAGTGTGTGTTACACAGCTCTATTTTTGTGTGTGTTAAGGTATGCTCAGAGTGGTCTGGGGTGACTATGCTTATACTGAGAGTCAGATGTCTGTTTTCCCTCTTCTAGGTTCATCAGTCTCTGCTGAAACACACCGAGCGTACGAGGCCGGGCACCAAAATCATTCCTTCAACAGTAAGTGAAAATAAGACCATGCATTGCAAGCATGACAATGTAATGAGTCATCGTCCACACAGACTTCATCCTCTGACTGGACCGTTTTGGCGGGGTGGCTTTTTTCAGCATGCTGAAACTTTGACTACACACAGTAACTACTTTTGTTCGACGACATATTGCCACAGAAATGACTCTGATAAGCAATATTATTATCATTTTAACACTATTTCACACCACTGATGTAATGCTGATCACTTAATAATGCAAGAACACCTGTTCAAAGTGCATTGAACTGAAGCAATCCTGACATCACCACACCAAACTAAAGGAAAAAAAAAAACTGTATTATGGTCGGGATAGAAAAGCCTCTGAAGCAGCATTTTACATGAAGAAAGCTACTCGCTGTTAAACCTGCTCCTTTAAGCTGGCACCTCTTAGCCTTCACAAGTGCATCACTATTAGGTGTCCAGAGTCATCCAGTGTGGCCGGATTGGACCCTGGGCTGTATGTTTTACACCCCTGGCATAGACACTTTGAGAAAATGCCTAGGCGCTTCATCAGAGTCTTTTATCAGTCGGGAACACCCTGCTGTTTATTCTAGCACCATGTTGGCTGAAACGTTGGTGACATTCTTACATAACCTTGGATCATTTTTGCTGACTTCGATAAGTCGATAATGTAATTATTGTGACAGGCCTATGCATATGCTCCGCTGTCAATATGAGCCTGTCAATATAACGGTTTTTCCCAGTGATGACAACCATCAGCTTGCCCGAATCTCCTGAGAGATTTCACATCACGCTTTTAGTCTAGAAAACACCCAGTGAAAATATCTTGAGCTGGGCAGCTGGAAGCTTCACCGATTAGTATAATGCTGACTTTTGCTGATGACAAGGCTGGGTTGCCCACAAGCTCACCTGGTAGAGCAGGCGCCCCGTGTACAAAGGATACATGCTTTGAACCTAGCAGCTGCGGGTTCAATTCCAACCCATGGCCCTCTGCTGCATGTCATCCCAACTCTCTCTCCCTTTTTCACAGTTTATCTGTCATATCAGAGAAAGGCAAAAAAAACCCAAAATATCTTTAAAAAGACCTGAATTTGCATACTAAATATGAATATTTATTTAATGCTTATAGATTCTGTGAAGGCAAAACTGTAAAGGCATGTACTTTGAACAGGTGTTCTTGCATTATTAAGTGATCATCATTTCATCAGTGGCATGGAATAGTGTTAAAATGATAATAATGTTGCTTATTACAGTGATATCTGGGTCAATATAATGCTGAACCAAAGTAGCTATTGTGACAGGCCTGCATGTAAAGTCAAAAGTCGCCCAGCCAAAACTGTGAAGGCAAAACCTTTTTTCACTGCATGTTTATTCAAGAAATAGAAAGTGAAGCTTATATCATAGCTGTACTTTAAACTCATGGTCTGACCAATACACAAACACACTCCTTTTTTCTTTAGTGGCTTACAGACGTGGTCCAAAATCCATCAGAGAGGCATACGAAGAGCGCTTCGTGGATTCAAGAGAGGTAAGGGAAGATACTGATTTGCATGGCCGAAATATATTAGTTCAACAAAGCCCAACTATCACAGTTACTATGTAATTAGTGGGAAAACTGCTGGGTCAACAGTCTTTGATATCATGTGTCTTTAGTGTTGTATGACCATGGTAGGTATTTATGAAAGTATTAAGTATTCATTCACTTTATCTTCTGTTGTAAGCCACTCTTTATGGGGATATCAAGGTTGAATACAATTTGCATGACACTTTTTATCTCAATACTTATCATAAAGCTGTGGAAGCTGTTTTCGGGTGTTTTTGTAATCTTTATCTTAATTATGTTCAAATACAATTCCATGACTTCATGAACCAAGCTGTTCATTGAGCATTTAGAGCACAGAGACAGTATCTTAGGACATGTTTATCAGAGGAGGGCAGCATTAAAGGATCAAGGTCTTACAGAGAAATTACTCGTCACATTATAATTTCATTTTGGACGATGCATTGTCAGTTGTCACCACAGAAATAGGTACCAAACATTGTGCCTACATATTAAATCTTGTGTAAAGAACAGCTATATTTCATGTAAAATATAACATTGTGTCATTCCAGGTGACAGCCCATCGATTAGTCAGTATTGTTGACAAGAGGAGCCAAATGCCCCGCCCCCTACTGGAGTATGACAGAGGTTTTAACGATGACCAGTGGTATGGTGGTCATCGTTACCAGGACGCGGGAGAATCTCACGGCGAAGGCAGCTACCGACCCAGTGATCGCCGATACCATGACGACAACTTTGGTGGCAATTTTCGAAGGAATTCCTCACCCCCACGAAATGTGAGATGAGCTTGGCACGCATGCTTTGTAACTAAAATGTAAAACAATCAAAGTTATGTTTTCATTGAGTATTAGCCACCAAAGCTTATTGTAAGGCTGAGTGATATGGACAAAAATTCATATCTGACTGGTGATACATGATATATGTATCTCGGTATTTTTCTAAGAAACGGGCAACATGTTTTCAGTTGCGAGTCAAAGCCACATTTCAGATGCCACAACCACTTTTATAAAAACAGACTGTGATCAAAATAAAATGCAAAGACAGGGATTTTTTCCCCGTTTTAAAATATTCAACTTCACAACATGTAAATGAAAAATGATATAAAATATATAGCAGGGCTGTACATTAAAGATTTGGCACACAGCACTGAAGCTGCAGAGGTTTAAAGGTTGCAGGACACAAAACTATAACATGAGTATAAAAGTATCAAGTAGGTCTGAAGCCACTGTAGTTAATTACAAATCTTTGTGGGGGAGTTCAGAAGTTTTTTTCATGGGCTTTCAAATGAATCTAGTGCTGAGAAATGATTAAAATATTTTTATCTATTTAGGCTGTCAATCATATTTATACACATAGCATCAACAGAGAAACTGAGGGAGGGAAGGAGCCAGAGACACTTTGTCCTCATTATATACGTCTTGTATGTGAAACGTCTGTGCTGTCGCTGCATTTTTCAAACAGATCTATCACCTGCATCCAGGCACTGTTTCCAGCGTGTTGTCTAAATTTATATCTTGCTTGAAAATATATCGATATAGCATACATAGTTGATATATCGCCTAGCCCTAGCTCATTGTGTGTAGCCTTTTGGACTAACAAACATGTCAGTTGAGTTTCCTTCCTGATTAATCAGTGGCAAAGCAGTTTTTTTTTAAAATGCTGCATTGTTTACACCCATGTTTATGACCAAACTTCTTCTTCGCTGTCGATGCTGGTGCATTGCAGCACATCTTTGCACATCAACGTCCACTTGTTGATCACCTCTATGTTACCTGCTGCAGGGTTGTGTTTTAAACAGAGGATATAGCACCACACAGCACTAATAAACACACTCTTCACACACGTGTGAAATTACCAAATGTGGTTCACCACAAGAAAAGGTTAGCAGCCCTCAAGCTGCAGTCTGGCCCACTGACACCATCTGTACGCCTCTCCAGTCCTTAAAGCCTGCACGTTCCAGATTAAGCACACAGCCACAAAACATGCATGTATGTCCTTAAACACATGAATGCACAAGATAAACTTGTAGAAAACACCTCCATAGTCTACTAGCTTTCAAAAACTCCACAGGGAGCCTTTAATGATACTATAATTGTGATTTTTTTTTTTTCCCCCCAGGAGGGCCCATACTCCCAACAGTCTTATGGCCGAGATGATCTGAGGCATCAGTTAAGGTAGTAAATATTGATTCTTCTATTTGTTGATAAACTTGTGTTTGTCTCATTGTAGTGATGTCAGATTGTCAGTTGAATTGTTTGTGTAATGCATCAGTTTGTCCACAGGGTGGAGCCAGAGCTCAGTCTATTGAAGGGTGAACGTTATCAGCTTGATAGGACATGGTGTGTGACTGTGTATGAAATATCATTGAGAAAAAAAAGGGGTAATCAAGCTCATAAGTGTAATATCTCTTTAGATTTATTTGTTGAATTTGTAGTCCTACATTCCATCCAATTATAAAGACGATAACATCTATCATTACAAATTGTTGCTTTAACAAATGCCTTGACAGAAACATATAGCTTTGGAAAATACATTTAGGAAGCTTACGTCAATTATCTGCGACCACGCTCCTCTTGAGGTGAGCTGAAGAGCTTAACCACGCTCACAGCAGCTAATACCAGCATTTATAACTCCTACATCAACACACACTCCTCTCGCCCCGGCCACTTTAACATACCAACAGTTTACGGGCCCAGGCTCCCCTTTCCAGGAGTCATACCGGGCTAGAGAGGGGGACAAAGGGCGCTAGTGTCTACTCACTCAGCCAAACAACCCCACCCCCACCCGTTACCCCACAGAGGAAAAACAGCTGGACCACTCCCTCTTCAGTCAAACACCCACACACTTCTCAGACACTGTCGGCAGCGAGTGTCTTTCTGCAAAAATTTGAGTCAGTTAGAAATTACCTTAAAATCGACTATTCAATATAATTTGAGTCCACGTCACTTACATTGGAAGCACATTAAGAAGAGATATTTTAGTGACCTGAAATGTCTGTCGTGCATAAGGTTCTTACAGTGGCCATGCTGGTCGTATAGAGCAGTGGTTCCCAACTGGTCCAGCCTCAGGGTTCAGATTTCTCCTTAGTCATTAGTTCAAGGTCCCACAGTTTAATACATGCAGCGTCACACTTGTGTTTGGCCATGTTGTTAAGCTAGTTTGCTGTCTCTGTCAAGTAGCTGTCTGTTGGTCACTCACTCTATGGCAGAAGACAGCCCTTCAAAATAAAAGCTCTCTCAATCCTAGCAACAGAATTCCAGGCACTCCAGGTTCTGTAAGCCCATGCAAGACTCACACTCATGGGGAAAACGGTGTACCCTCAGAGGATACACAAGTAGACTTCGTAACTACACTGGAAGCTCTTGCTGCACAACTATAAAATCAAACCCAAGGGGTGTGGGATAAGGATGAACAGTGCATCAATGTCATAAAGTGCTGCAGTGGTGTCTTGGTGACACACTTGAATTCCTTTTCATCCTCCCTAATCTGAGGTTTTAACCACAGATTATGAGTTAACTGCCTGATATGCAGCTCCAAATGAATGAACAATCAAAAGCTACCCATGCTAAATGAAGCTTTGTCTTGTTTTTGTAAACTGCCATTTTAAATCCATCCACTCCATTGAGGTATTTTTACCTTCAAACATTCAAAGAAGCCAGGTTTGGTGTTTTTACTTTGTGTAAAGAAAGGAAAGGGAACAAAGATGCAAATATTATCAGTGGTATTATTAGTCTGCTGTGTCTCCTGGGACCCACAGTTATTTTAAGGCTTCATGACTCATCAAAATATCACATTATTCTGGTAATATTTTAGTGCAGTGACTGTCAGCAGCAAGAGTGTACTTCATACAGTCTATCTCCTATAACCTTTAAGTGTCAGTCATTTCTGGGTGAATTTGTGTCTGATAAGTGCTTGATTTACTCTCTGTAGAGTCTTTAGTTTTTCCAAAATAAAGTACACAGCTTCTTTTTCTCTGCGTAGCCTTTTGATGTCAGTGGTGTGCTGCATGGATTGCAGTTCAGCGTTTGGCAAATGGCAGGCTGAGTCCTGGCTACTTCAAACAGACCATGAGTCGTAAAAGTTTGAGGTCTTGTTAGACCTGCTCTTTGTTTGAGATGCGGCCTGAGTTCATGCAGAGGTCACGACAACCAGGTGCCTTTGGGTCATTTATACCTCTGAACCTAAAGGTTGTTTTTCAGGCACAAGCTTTGAGTCTGGAAAATCATAAAAATGAGGCACGATGAAGTTTTAGTACTCATGCTCGGCCTGGTAAGATGAACGCATTATTACGCTGCATGGTTGAAAAACAAGTGTGGTGACAGTGCCTTGTGACATCAGCTCCATATTTAGGCGTAATCATGGTTCTGCCGACAATTGAAGACAGATAGTAGTGAAAGACGACCAAAATTGGTGCGACTGTCTGCCAAGTGTTGCATGTGCCAAAGTGGAAGATTGCCTCAATTCCACAAATTGATCAGCGCCCCACTGAGACTGAATTTAGGTCTTTGTGGTTTTTGTCTTCTGTTTATTGTTTCCATTACCCATCTGAGGGCGTTCACTCACGACCACTGAACACTTTTTTTTTTCTAAAAAAAACAAAAAAAAAACAGTAAAGATGAAAATTGCTCTTTTTGAATTCACACTTAAAACACTCTTGATTTATTTATCATATCCATGGACCTTTCTTTTCCGAACAGTTGTTGCCAGGTTGCAGAGCAGCTTTGCCAGTTATTGATTTGTCTGTATTTTTTTAATGTTCTTTAGGAACAGTGGAAGAGGTGGTCCCCATTACCGCAGCAGAGGTCGAGGGTCCGGCCCTCCTGTAAGGTCAGTGCCAGAGAAGCCAACTCCCTGCCCTCAGTGCCCTCAGTGCCCTCAGTGCTCTGACTTCCATATGGTTTTCTAGTACACATTAAACAAACTGACAACTTTGTCAGCAGCCATGACTTGAAATTAGGTGTCTAGTTTTTGATTTAAGACGTAGGCGTCCAAGCGCAACTGATAAAACTGGGCACTTGGGCAAAAAGTTGAAATATTCAAGTTTAACCTTAAGTTTATTGATAAACTATTCAAAAGGGGGTGGACTTGATGAGTATTCACTTCTTACTGTCCACTTTTTGGACATGAAAACCTTTTTTTCTAGGTATTCTTGTTTTGTTTTCTTATGTAAATGTATATTTTTCAGCTTTATTTTTTTTTTTTTTTTGCTTGTTTGAAATAAAATCTAATAATGACAACAGAAGGTATTGTAATAATTGACATTCAAACAAATTATATCCCACTCAATGTGCTTTTTTTAAACAATAGGAAATTATATTTATCAAAAACCTGTCATATTGCAAAAGGTCCTTTTTTTCCTCTTGAAAACCTCACTCATTAGGAAAGTCTTTGAAAGCTAAGGCTTTTTTCTAGATGAAGCTTCCTCAGAAGAATTAATGCCAAAGACCTCTGCAGATGATTACATTTCAAGATTTTAAGAAAGAAGTGTAAATTCCCATTGCTGATATTATATCCCGTATTTCAACCCTTTGAAACCTGGAGCGACATCACTTTTCTTGTGCTGCGTTCAGACGCCTTTTGCAAGTATTTGAACTTTTGAACCCTGAGCTAATTGGTGTGATTCTTTTCAAAACATGGGAAGAAGACAAGAAGGAACTGAAGAAGAAATTACTCAAAAAAAATCAGCAAGAAATCAGTAATAGATAAAGTTAAAAAGAAAAAAGTCAAAAAGAAACAAACAATAGCCTGGAAAGAGTGCTTAAAAATAATAACAATTCTGTAACATAATTTTAAAATCTAATAATAATAATAATAATCAGAAATATAGTTTTCCCTAGCTTTTTTCTTTCTTCACTGTATTTTAAAAATAGGAACATAGGAAAAAGGCACTGAGCAACTTGGTAAAAAAAGGTCCCAAAATTGCAAAAAAAAGGTAAGAAAAAAGCTAGCGAAAAACTATATTTATGACAATTATTATTAGATTTTAAAATTATTTGACAGAGTTGTTATAATTTTTAAGCCCCAAGATTTTTGGGGTAGTGTCTTCTTTAGTTGCTTGTTGCCTTTTTCGTTTGTCAATTTGCTTAGGTTTCAAAGGGCAGAGGGCAGGAAACTTAACCTGCCGAGCCTGTTCCTTCCTCAAGCTGTCATGTCCAGATACAAATGAAGAATTACATTTATAGACAAAATTGATCTAAAGCACTCAAGACTCTTGAACTTCTTGTTTATTTTAATAGAGAAGACCATGATGACTACAGGAGCTCTCCAACTATAGTAATCAAATGGGACCGCTCTCCTGCGAGAAGGGAAGTCCAGCCGCCTGCACCCATCCGCTCTGGATCGAGCAGCAGCACCAGGAGCTGCTCACCCGACAGGGAGAAAGGACACAGCTACCAGCAGAGCCAGCCAAGACGTAAGTACAAAGTCTTCTGTGGATCTTGAACAGCTCAAGTTTACACATTCTGAAAAGCCTCAGTTGCAGTCATCAGTGTAACCAGATAAAAAGAAAGAAAACTCCATTTCCAAATTGGTTATGCACTCTCCTGCTCTGTCTTTGCTCCTAAATCATTTGCAGGGTACCAGCAGTAATGGTCGTAGCTGTCTGACCTGCTGCCTGAGTGGATTGAATGACTTCCAGTAACGCAGCTCACTCTGAACTACCTGACACTGTGATTGGCCACAGCGTGCACAACCTGAAGCAGCTTAGATAATGGAATACAGCGGAGTTGTCAGTTTACTCATATGTAGTAGTGTTTGTCCTCACAGCTGTCATACCCTCTGTAGTGACAACAGAAGAGGTCATTTTCCCATTTCACAGACGCATACGTATAATTACAATGCCTAAAAGTATTAAGCCATTCCAGGTGAAGCATCTGTTTTCAGAGGTGCTGTGTAAAGTGAAGGGTCAGGGTGCGCTGCAACACGTTAAGATGTTAATTACACTAACACCACACACACTTTTTTCAAGGCTGGGAAAAAGGATACTCTCGGTTTATTGGGGTGGTTTGGCTTCAGATTCAGAACCTGACCTTTTCCCTTTTCGCGGGCTTAACGATGTCTTCAAAATCACTCCGCGTCCGTCATTTTACACGCTTTCTTTTGTGACTTTCACAGGCTTTAGATCTTTAATTAACAATGCTGAGCTAATGAAATTTATAGATTCATGTTCCACAAAATCTCGTATAAAGTGATCTGACATGAGCAATATTATTAGTCTGAGGCGAAGAGGTGTGGGCAGTCATGTCTTCAGGGCTTTGATTTCGAAGACACATAAACATATTAATGTGGTGAAAGCTAAGCTCCGTGTTGCACCACCCTTTGAAGATGCAATAAAACTGTGAGAAAACAGTTGTACCTCCCAACTCCACTCCCATCTGGGATGCTAATTAGGCCAGCACAGCAAAGCAACCAAAAATAGGGTTTTGGTGTGAGGGTATGTAGGCTCTGTCATACACAGAGAATCTGTGAGCAGTGTCTTCTTAAAAGGTGAGTAACACAGGGGCTGCTGCCATGTGGGCCCACCACCTGTAAGGTTTTTGTGAAGTGGCTGTAGTGGAACAGTTGAAGGCTCTTTTTCTGTTTTAAAGATTATTTCTGGGCTTTTTTTGTGAGTTAGGACAGTCTAAGTGTGAAAGGGAAGAGAGAGAGGGATGACATGCAGCAAGGGGCCGCAGGCTGGAACCAAATCTGTGGCCGCTGTGGTGAGGATATTGCCTTTTTATATGGGACGCCTGCTCTACCCACTAAGCCACTGGACACCCCAATTGAAGGCTCTCAATGGCTATTATGATGTGGAGTGTCATCTGGAGAGAGTTTCAAACTGAACATAGCCTGGCCTCGGGAGACCCAACACATGGATACAGGCTGGACTCGCATGTTTTCTCTAGTTGCCCAGGCAGTGTGTTTACATCACAGACTGTATAAACATATGGTCATAGTCACCGTGACGTCACCCACTGGTTTCTGAGGAGCGGGTTTGGAGCTCAAAGTAGGCGGCTCTGGCCGTCGCCATCTTGGCAGTGCCTGACTCCGCCCAACTCCCGGCCAATCAAAAATGGGCAAAGAGGCGGGCCAAATGAAGCCTGGTTGCTTAAACACGCCCACCTCGCTGTAAGCTGCTAAATTAGCTAAGGCTAACAAGCTAGGCTGACAAGCTATGCTACTTTAGCTAGCCCTGTGGTGTTGGGCGCTCCCACTTGGTGCCAGCTCCCTCACGAAACAAAATATCCAAAGGGCACAAACACGGCTGAGAGGTCAGGTTCAATGACTTGCGAAGTAGCTGAGATGACGGCTAGTTAGCCACCCGTGATGGCGCCACCTGTCACTCAAAGTGACCACACCCTTAATTATGCACAACTTTAAGCCTTAATAAAATTTAAACTGATGAATTATAAAAAAATTCACCCCCCATACAGTTGTCATGAAAGGGGAAATTAGCTATAGAGACCAAAACCATTTTTTGTACCAGGCTGGAAACATGTTTCTGCTGTAAAGTTGAGCATTTTAACATGGGGGTCTATGGGGATTGACTCGCTTTTGGAGTCTGCCTCAAGTGGCCATTCAATGAACTGCAGTTTTTGGCACTTCCGCATTGGCTTTACCCGTCATCCCTGGAGGTTGCCGCTTGGTTTACATGCACTAGGTAACTCAGAAAAACCAGGTTATGTGGGTAATCACAAGGCCTGTAACGTTAAACAAACTGCACAGTTTCTAACATAAAATTTATTCTGACAAAATGTTAGCATTCAACCTTGGCTCATTGGCTATAATTCTTTGACCTTATGCTTTAATTTGGTATCCGGTCACATATCGGCAGTGATAAATGCTCCATTATTGGCGCATGTCGAAGTATCCTCGGCCAAGATACTAAACCCCAAATTGCTCCTGATGGCTGCTCCATCGGTGTGTGGGTGCGTGTGAATGGTTACGAGCAGGTTGCACCATGTATGGTAGCCTTGGTCACCGGTTTGTGAGTGTGTGTGAATGGGTGACTATGATATGTAGTGTAAAAGCGCTTTGAGTGGTCAGAAGACTAGAAAAGCGCTATACATTCACAGTCCGAATCTGCATTGGGAGGCTGCCTAAGCGCTGCGGGGAGAAGGACTCGCCTCCCAATCTGTTTTTGTCTCGTTCCGCTAATGAATACACCCTGGTGATGCTGCTGTAACTGAAATGAACACCATCCTGAGAGCTACGCCTCGTGACACGAGATCATGGACATTTGCGAACTTCGGTCTGGGTATCAGATTCATTACACCCCTAGTAATCAGACAATGTATTTACATGCATCGACAGTGGAAACTTGTTTTCGACTTCTCAAGGCGACTTTGTGTTGGTTTCAGTTTCAGTTAAGCTTTGGATAGAGTTATTTTAACTACAAGGATGCATCGCTCCATATAATCCCCTCGTATTCACTGTCTGCGGTCGTTTGCTATGCACATACATAAACATACAGAAAAGCCAATTAGAAACCTGGATACCTGTATACATGGCAGAGAAATCTAGCAGGGGAGATTAAGCTTCTCTAACCCCCCCACCCCAATTATCCAAACCAGGTTTCTCGTTCTGCTTACTGGAGCGCACTGAGGATGTGAGGTGCCAGGCAGGTGGGGGATACTCCTGAGACCCCAGTTTAGCTCTGCTGTGTTGCAGTTTACCCCAGAGAATAAGGGAGTGAGATCTGTGGTAGCGCATGTCGCAGAGAAAAAAGTGGTCAGTATGCTCCAGATGAGGTCCTTGTCAGATCATCAAACAGTGTCCACAGCCACCTCCTCATCCCCCACTTTTCCCACATCATAATTAAGGTGGCTGCGTCCAACAAGTTTTGTAACTCTCCAAAACAGACAATCTGAAAAACACGCCTACGTTATATAGGCCAGGTGTCCAGAGGTGAGAGCTGCTCCGCGCTCTCCTGCCTATGAGGAGACACTGAACAGCTATGAACACTTTTCCCCTTCAGACTTAAAGACAAAATAGTCAAATTAACTAGTTTGTTTAAGCACACCCTGCCTGTAACACTGTTGTCTGTCTGTACGATCCGCTGAGTGGACACAAATTAAGATGGAGGCTGTACCTTGGCTCCCTCTAATCACTGTGGGACATTCCTTCAGTAAAAACAAACTACTTGCTCATATTTGTTTTTTTCTCTAGACACATTGGAGCCAGCAGAGAACAATATTTCAATTTAGGCGCAGCTGAACTCCTCGACCACTATTGTGTGGGAGGATCCAACAAGGGAGTATTAAAGAAAGCAGTGATTTATACTTTTCAGCTGCCTCATAATGCCTCAGCCCCACAATTGTTCAGCATGACAACTGATTATTTGATGTCTCACAGTAGAAAGTAATTGACCCCCAGGGTATTTTTAAAATATAGATATATATATTATTTTGCAGTTATTAGACAGCACAGTGGAGAGTGCTACGGGGTGTGTGGTCCCCGTCCGGATTTGAAGCAGAGATGCTGCAGTTAACATGGCTTACATCCCAGACCAATGACCCTCCAGGATGCTCCCCCTGGATTTATTTTAATACAGAGCAACATTAGATAAATAATGCTGTGGTGACCCTCGTGTATTCTTTAGATCTACTTACTTTTATAGTTGTCTCCTCTAGTCAAAACTCTTTATTTACCATAATTATCTGATGTTCTCTCACTGTACTTTTCCTCTCCATCTGTCATGATGCTTCCTCCACAGATAAGCCCAGCATGCTGACGAGCCACACTCCCAGCAGCTCTGTGGAGGAGGCTCCTCACAGCTTGGGATCTTCAAAGGTAAAAAAAGAAACAGCATTTGAGGGCGATCTCAAGAAACATGTTGCAGTGTGGTTGTCACAGTATTTCAGTGCTGACGATGAACGTGATATTTAAAAATGAGATATTTATATCATGTTCATAATATCCATATTATATTGTGTTAAAAATCAGCCAATGTCATCTGCTTGCGTTTTCACCATCGGTTAAGTGTAATTGCTCCTTTTGTACACTTTGTCATGGTTACAGACTCTCTCCACCTCTCTACACTCGTATTTTGAGAGTTATTCATTTGCAAAGAAAAGACAAAGGCACAATAAACAAAGCTAAAGATGAATTTGCCTGATAGCAGTATTTATTTTTCAATAGATTATTACGAGAATATTGTTATTGTGAGCTCTTTTGGCCACAATAATGGTGTTTGAAATCATGCCAGCCCTAGATTATTAGATATTATTTGCACTAACATACTGCAACTACACAAAATGATCATCAAAATTATCTTTACATTTCCTAAACATAGCCAGATCTTTGTCAGAACGAATTTACTTCCCAGCAAGACAGACTGAGTCTGCTGCATAGTTCTTTGTGGTCTTATATTCTCCCCTTTTTGTGTTTTAATGTGGACATAGAGCAAGAAAAGATTCTTTATATATTTGAATATCCTCCTGAGACCCTGTTGGCATTTGGCTTTGCTCATTCTTGTTAACTTAGACCTGTTGTCTTTGTCTGTGGACACTTTTGTGCCAGTGGCAGTAAGAGCACAATATGCTAATACACATAAGAACAAGATGGCAGCCATCTCTGCCAAGTCAGTCTGCAGCCAGTCCCAACACAAAAGCAGACAAGGGTTAAAACCTGATTACATGTTATGGTTGAAACTTGTTCATTTATCTTTTATAATGTTTATAGTTTGATATTGCATAAAAATGTGACCAATTTTAGCAACAGTAACAAAGATACTGTTAATTAGGAAGTATTTGTTTGAGGACTTTATTATCATCTCCTCTGTGGATATTGGGACTTGATTGTTGCAGCATTTCATACAGGCCAATTCGGTGTTACAGACTGTTCCTACAGACAAAAAGGACATTCCTAGCTTGGAGTATGGAGCAAGGAAAATTCATACAGCGCTATAAAATGAACACATCACAGTTTAGTTTTTGCACAGCCATGTTCAGGCATTGAAATGAACAGTTATGAATGGTTTTAGACTTGAACAGGGACCTCTAACCCATAGAGTGTTGGATTGTTTGTCATTTTGTATTTGCATAACAGTTTTTGGACATTTAAATAAACAGTTTTATGCTTTATTACACATTTGTGGCAATTAAAAATAATCCAGATCCTACTGATCCTAAATAGTTCAGAGAAATTAAAAATGCACACCAAACAAAAGCTCGGGTCTCAGGAGGATATTGAAGATGAAACATGTCCGACCTGGTCAAGAACACATCATTTAGAATAGGATAATAATTAATACTATAAATTATAAATGCTGTTATAAAATGAAATAAAACAAGGACAGTAATTGTTTTTTCTGAAGCAGACTCTAAGGTCTTAGAGTGTTCTAAAATTCATCAATAAAGAAGAGTTTAAACATTGTTCTTTAATGCATGTGCTGCAATACAAAGGTCAAATATACAGCACATACAATACAGTACAAAAACAGGCAAAACCACCAGTATGGTACTGTAAAGACTGAAATAACATAAAAAAAGAACACGTCCTTTAATCTGTGCACATTTAGGTTAAGTTTCCTTTAAGTATAACTGATCTATTTGTGTCAATGGGCCTTTACTTTGATCTGTGACTGTAAGGATCCTTTAATCAGACAGATGCACTGTATGTGGTACCTCTGCACTGTTCACTGTTGACACACGGCATGCATAATGAGACATGCACCAAAACAAGAACTCAACACTCTTAAGAGAGCAGCGTTGCGTCTCTATTTGAAAACTCTTTGAAATCAGAACCAGCTCCTAAACTTGCTGACCTCACTTCTAACCCTTAACCTTTGGCCCGGCAGGAAAAAACTCCAGCATCTGTAGCGGAGACGGAGGAGGAGGAGGTGGCGGCTGCCAGCGTGGCGCCAAAGCCGACACCAGAGGACGACTTCAAGGCTCGCCGGTCGGAGGCCATTAACGCAAAGGCTCTGGAAATTGAGAAGGTAGTAAGATTGTCTCCATGAAACGACCTGACTTCTGTGAAATCTCTTGACTCTCCATAGTATAACATGTCTCCACTGTCTTTGTTAGATCGGAACCGTTCTCCATTTGTATCACGGGGTCTCTAATATACTGCAATAAGTCCATTTCAACCAGGCATTAGATATTACTGAGTTACAAAATCTTATTTTCTTAAAACAAGTGGAAAAATCAGACAGTGAGGTGAGATTGTTAGATTGCGGACTTGTGAGCACAGGACAGGGAGTGTTTCAGTGGGCAGTTGTTGAGAGAAAAATGGTTCCCTACACTATCAAAGGGATAGTTCGGATCTTTTGAGGTGGGGCTGTATGAGGTACTTATCCATAGTCAGTTTATTACATACAGTAGATGAGGGTCAGTGCGCCCCGAGTTTGGGAAACCAGGCAGGAGTAGCGAGGTGGAAGCTAAGCAATGCACTGCTTTGGACGGGGGCGGCCGCAAAGCTACTTAAAAAATCTATATCAATTTAAGTGTATGCTATATTAAGAACATTTTTAATGCTTTACCTTCCATCAAACAGCTCAGCTGGCTTCAGCTCCCCATCTTTGCTCTCGTAGTTGCCACCAGACCCCACTGACAAAAACAGTAATTTTAGCTTGCTGAACACAGATGCTGCTGGTCTACCGCTGCCTTGATTGGTTTGTTTGTTTGTGTGACTTTGGTGCATCTGAACTAACCCTTTTAAACACCAAAGTCACACAGTAACACAAACAAACTGACTGATTGAGGCAGCAGTAGACCAGAAGCTCCTGTGTTCAGTGAGCTTAAATTACAGTTTTTCTTGATGGAGTCTGGCTTTTGAGAGAGGGAAAGGATAAGGGTTGTCTGATGGCAAAGTACAGCAGTGAAAATATTCTTAATATAACACACTTACATTGCTTAGCTTCAGTGTCTGTAGTCCTGCCTGCTTCTTCAAATTAGTACCTCATACAACCCCACTTCCAAAGATTGGAACTGTTCCTTTGAATAACACACACACACATGCAAAAGCACATGTTTATTTGGTTTATATGAAGAAATCTGTTCACTGCAGCTGGGGCATCATAGTCCCAAAACTAAGGCTCCTTATGGGCTCACCTCACCGTGTGGTTGCCCACGTTGTGTGAGGGCCCTGATCTGAAGGTGGGCCGTGTATCCAGACAACCCTTTCACACTGACTTTACGATTTGGCTGAGACTCAAGGCGTTGACGTCAAAGGTGTATAAATGTGCCTCGGCTTGCAACACGTAATATTTAAGAAATTTAGGAACCTTTTCGGCGGAGAGAGAAGGAGGATAAGTCAGCAAAAAAAGTCCTTAGCACCTCAGGTTGTGATGCCTTTTGTGGCGTGCTATTTGGAGTTGCACTTTTTTCCCTCCCCTTCGTCGTTCTGCACTACAGTACCACTTATCTGTTCCCGTTAAAGCAGGGCAGGAATTGCCCTGCAGGATGCAGGCGGCCCACCCACAGTGTGGTACGTCTCTTGGCATTAGCACACATGCTTACCCTGCCATTTCCAACTGCTTCTACAGACGTGGTGAGAGGCAGAAACCTCGACCGTGTCTTTACTGTAACATCTGCCCCAGGCTCAGTGAAACACACACCGATCCATCGCTGCTGTGGATTTGCCAAACTGAGCAGAGCAGGTAGAGTGCAGAGCTGCATCTCGGACCTCCTGCTTTGAAGGAACGCCTCGAATCCACAGCAGTTACTCTAAACAAGTGTGTCACATACTCAGAAATGAACCACTACATCCCTTTTTTTGGTCTCTCCTAAATGGGTTATTTTTCTGACCAGCAAGGTCTTAATACTGTGTATACATCTCTGTTAGCATGGGACCGGATCATTCGGAAATGGATTTGTCATACCAGCATAGCTCATTGTTTTTGGGCCAAGAGCTTTCTGTAATGCATTCTTTCTGTGGGAGTCTCAGGGTTCTAAATGAAATTGGAAACCTCAAACAAATTCAGTGACACAGTAAACATCCCTGTTTGTGACACTGCCTGTTATAGATGTTTCAGAAATGTTACTATAGTCATAATCACCAGCATGCAGTTGTTTTGTAAACCTTGTGATGCAACAGATGACCAATAGAACATTGTTTCATTCTTGGGAGACTGACCACAGGACAAATCTGAGCATGCAAAACAACAACAACAACATCTTAGGAAATATCTAGTCAAAACGTAGCTAAGTGCCTGGCAGTGATTTCCAGAGAAGTCCATTCATCATCTCAATCAGCGCAAATGAAACATATCCATTTCAACTATTAGCCCCTCCATCGAGAGGTCCGGTTTGCAGCTTGAGTGATTAAAATGGCTCTTTTAATATCCCCTAATGTGTACCAGCCCTCAAGTCATTACCCTACTTCCCTTATTATGCAGGACCCCTGCCTGCATCAGCGCTCATTTGAACAGAGCCTCACTAAATGTCCATGTGAGTGCCTTATGTATAATCGCACTCAAACCCCCCAACTTCTCAACCCCCACCTGGTACCCCAGCACACACTCCTGTGTCAGTATGTTCACAATTTGGACCTCCACAAACATCCGATTTGGGCAGGAGCCCACTTTTTAAGGCTCCTCCTTAAGGCCCCTAGTGTTGCTGTTTCTCTTGGGGCTCCAGTCCGTCCTGTGTGGCCCCTTAGTATCAGGCTGAAAGATCAGCTCATGGTTCCCACTCCAGGGGAGGGGAAATTTAGGCAGAACCTCCCTGCAACCTTTTCTCACAACACACAGAGCACGCTCAGGTCAAAAGCACCCTTCCTGTTTGTTCAAGTAACATGGGAGTAGCTTTGACAAAAATAGCCGGCTGGTTGAAGCCACTCTGCGATTGTTCAGCGCTATAAAAAGATATGTAGTGATGCTCTTCATCTCACACACATTTATATGCGTAGTCACGCGCATGTAAGCACATGATAGCTCACAGTCGTCTGAGCTCCATTACCATCAAGGGAAATCTCTTAATTTGAGTTCATAGTTCATTATAAGGCCGTGTTTTCCAGCCCCTTTCCTCGAGGCTTTCAAGTGTGCAAAACTGTATACGGGATATAATGAGGTGAAAATGTAATCACTGTCAACAAAGGCTGCAGCTCGGGAAAAGCTTAGGAAGGTTTTGTTTTGAAAGATGGCAAACATAATCAACCCTAAGTGATTAGAGGGGCACTGGTTTGTGAGACACACCACATGTTAGTGTCTTATTTAGCCCCCTGTTTCCTCTCACATCTTCAAACCTGGAACCAATCTGTGCCTCTACGAAATAATGCTCACTTAGTGAGAATGTTTAACAAAGGAGAAATCTTCACTTAGTAAAAGCTACAGTTGGTAACCTTAAAAAAACAAAAAACAATTTGTGTCATGTTCACTGAAACTGTCACTATATCCACGCAGTAATACATGAGACAGATAATCTGTTTTTTTTAACATGTTTTTTTTTATCTTTAAAACAATCCAGTGAGGCTAATTCATGTATCAGAAATTAGAATCAAGGTGACAGGTTCTATAAAAATTTCATTTAGACAGTTTTTCATTTAGACACTTTGTCTGATAACTGTCTGGACTGAGTGGAGTCCAATGGGAATTAACAGATTTGAAGGCCGGCGACCGGAGGCTACTTGCTTCGCTGCCATTCAGCTGCTAACAACCATAGCTCCACCATCCACAGTCAGATACATGACTCCTTATTTACTGCTGAATTACAGCTCACAAATCACACCAACAGCTGACGCTCCTCTGGTATGAGTGTTTTTGCTGGCTAGCGAAACATCCTGCTGCAGACTATATACTTGATTTTGCCGTTCTGTCGCTTGTGTGGCATTTGACGGTAATTACAAGCACAGCCGCTCTTGGCTTTCAATGTCCGATAGTCCACCACTAACATTACCGTCATGTCTCGTCTCGTCTACGAAAATAAATCATAGATTTCGTCTTAGTTTTTATTATCAAGATCTATTTTTAGCTCATCATCGTTTTGTTTTCGTCACGGCAAAAAGGACGTTGACGAAAAATTGTCGTCATAGTTTTCGTCAACGAAATTAATACTGGTGCTTTTGATGGGATTTCTGCATGTTAACGAAAACAACCAATCATGTCAATCATGTCATGTCAATCATGTCAATCACAGCTCTTGAACTGCAGTCAAACTGCCAAACTAGGCAGCGCTGATCAAATATGAATCAAGATTCGGTTACTGCGTTGCCTGTTTCTCACCTCAGATGTTTGCAGAAAGATATTTTGGTGCACAGTTTAGCTGCAATATGAGAATTTGTGACCCAGCTGCCATGCTGAAAACAGTCAAGCCAAACAAAGTACTACCCACTGGCCGGAGCAAACTTAAGAGACTCCTCAGCTCTGATTAGTTGTTTACCAGCAGTGCGGTGGATCTAGCAAATGCCATTGAAGACACTATGACGAGGGGAAGGAACATGATTTTTTTTTTTTATCTGTCTCATGCACTACTTTCTGGATGTAGTGAAAGTTTCATCAAATATGAAAAAAACTTATTTTTATAGAAGGTACTAACTGTAGCTTTAAGAGGTAGTGGTGTGGAAATGTTTGTCTGTTGTTAAATTAAGATCATGTAAAAAAACATTCAGAGTAGTCTGGGAATGGACAGCTCATATGTAGTCAGAAGGAAACCTGTGATGTTGAGTGAAGTTGACCCTGAGCTCAGCTGGCCACACGTGTTGTGAGTCTCTCACTTCCTTGTGGTCGGGGCTGAAGACTATCATTATGTGGGGCCGCGAATTCGCTTGACATGATCTGCAGACATTAAATCATCAGCATGAGTCCAAACATCTCCCACAGTCTGGGATATTTCTGTCGGAGTTTACTCGACCTGCCTCCCTCTGTGTGTGTACAGTGCTTGTTGTGATACAGTGATAATCACCTGCATTGCTATAATATTCATAGTCATAATAGTTATTTCATCCTACCGTGACATTTAATTCATTTTCCCTGTAACTGGAGCAAACATAGTTGTAGTTGCACCACAGAATGTGGGTTAGAGATGCGGGAATGAACAGATAGGTGTGCACCAGCTATCTGAACATGCTGTAGCTGGTTTTGGAGGGGAATTATCAGGGAGGGAGCAAGAGAGATGATTTTTTTTTAAAGCCATGAAGGAGAACTGGAGTGAAAAGGAGGCTGGAGGCATTGCAGTTTTTCGACATCGTTGTAATTATCATGTAAAGCAGAAAATGGAGACCATTCATTTTCTCCCACTAAGTTTTTACATGTGTAATTTTATAATTTCACCTAACCTTATTTAGCCTACTTGGGTCCTCGTCTGACACAATAAATTGCGCACCTGGGATTTTTTGTCTCCCCAACAGGTATGCTCAATAGCCTCTCTTTTAAGGCCCAGCAGACACACCAAACCGACATCACAGAGCTAATGGCGACGGAGGCCGACTGTTGTGTCGCCTCCAAGGCCTGTGTCTCAGCCAGAAAGTTGCACTTGAACACACTGCAAAGACGTCAGCCAACGGCCAACTCACATGTACATTCTGCGCCTGCCTGAGAGGAAATGACACTCCAGAGCAGCATGTTGCAGTTGTCTGTGTTTGTCGTTCAAAAAGGGAAACTGGAAGATCATCAGGACGGATACAAGATGCTAGTTGGCCAGTTAGAACTTAAACAACACAACCAGATGTTTAGAGAACAAGTGATAGTTAACATGCACCAGCGAACAATCACGCAAACATAAACAAACGGCTAAAGAGCTCAGTGGCTAAAAACATAATCTTACCTAGTATAAAAAGTTTGCTTTGATCTCATGCCCTCTAGACTTGAGTCGTTTGGCTGCCTCCCTCACTTCTGTTTCTCTTCTTGTGCCCTGAGTTGAACTGCTTATCAGAGTGATTTCATTCACCGACAGGCTCCACTGTCTTCTACACCAAGTTAACATGCCAAATCGGCCGGGAAAAAAGGGCTGACATTGCAGGACGCTGCAAAACCAGGGCGACAGACGCTCAGATGGCATAACACTGACCGCTGACCATCGATATGGTGTGTCAGGGCTCTTAAGGCCGAGACATATCAAAGTGACGTCAAAGAATTAGTGCTGATGAAGGCCCAATGTTGCTTTGCCCCGCCTCTGGGCATGTCGCCTGGGTCTTGACCAAAAAGTTGCACTTGAACACACCGTAAAGACCACAGCCAGTGGCCAACTGGCAGGTACCTTCTGTGCCTCCGTGAAAAGAAATAACTCTCCACAGCAGCAGGCAGGGGTAGTCTGTATTCATCATCCTGAAGGAGAAACTGGAACACTAACATGCTGAAGTAACATGCCCCAAGTAACTTTGGTCTTGGCCAGAAAGTTGCACTTGACATGCTGAATTGGCCAAAGAAAAGCCAACAAGGGCCGACTTGTGCCAACAGTGTGGGACACACAGCAAAAACTGGGGTGACAGACCCACAGATGGCCTAACATTGACAGCTGACCATCAACATGGTGTGTCAGGGCTCTTAAGGCCTAGACATACCAAACTGACGTCAAAGAACTAATGGAGATGAAGGCCGACTGTTGCATCGCCCCATGTCGCCTAGATCTCGGCCAAAAACTTACACTTGAACACACTGAAAGACAACAGCCAATGCCGAACTAGTGCATATCTTCTACGCCTGCATGAGAGGAAATACCTTTCTATAGCAGCAGGTGGCAGTAGTCTGTATTTATTAGCCAGAAAGGGAAACCGGACCACCAACTTGCTCAGTCGCCCAAAGAAAAGCCAATAAGGGCCGATAAGGGCCAACTAGTGTCAACGGTTTGGGACACACTGCAGAAACTAGGGGAACAGATGCTCACTGCCGGTTCAAAGCTGACTGGCAGCAGACTGTCGGCTTGGTGTGTCAGGGCCCTCAGCCTTTTGCTGTGGGACTGTTCTCTTGCTTGAAAACACATCGAGTTGTTCCCATGTGGCACATTGTTTCCATCCTTATTGTTCCAGGCTGAATGTAATATTATTTTTGTTTCTTTGACCTTTTCTGCATGTTTCAAAGCGCCACCCAGACGAGCTCCCTCCCAGGTTTGGATGGAAAAGATCATCTTGATACTGAGTCTGGCAGATTTTTTTAAATAGTGTAAACTCACAGCTCTATATTGGTTTTTCTTTTCATTTCTCTCCCAGTATTGCCCGCCACATATTTCAATAAATCATATATAACAGAGACTTTTCTCGCTCACAGCCCTCATGAAATTCTCATCAAGTCTAGTTAAGTCATGTGACACGTGTGATATAAAGAATTTACACAAGCTCTCGTGATCACTATACAAATTGATGGATACACGATCATGTGTTAGCCTCGATACGCATTATGTAATGTGTATCTAGGCAAAGAAACGGCAGTTGTGGCTTTAAATTTCCCCATAACTGACAGAAGCCTGGAATACAGCCGTTTAACCGGTTAACCTCACATTCTGCTCAGGACTGGACGCTGATTAAAGTTGACAGGCAGCATTTTTCTTTTCAAAGCTCACAAAGCTGATGGCTTGTGTTTTATTACATTTAACAGACAGTTAATGTTTGATGAGATACTGTCAACTAATTTTTGTGCTACGACCAAGGCCCACATTCCTAAAATGGTTATGCGGTCTGAACATGACACAGATATACAGCTCCTCTAAGGAAGCTGCAGCCGTTTAAATCACTATTTTAAAGAAGTAGGCCGTATCTCCTGACACTTGAGCAGAATTGTTGCAAAGATTTACATCTGATGAAGCTATTTACCTAAATACAAAGCATTATCTGTAAGAACAGATATTGTGTGGAGGCAATATATCTAGAGGGTTAAATATGTCCTCTATTACCACATATATTAGCCTGTTTTTGTTAGTAGACATGTATCTAATCTTTGCCAGTAAGTGGATTTGATGTCTTACTTGTAGTGGCCAAGAGAGTGGTTGTTTTAAAGCCACAGAAGCCTTCTGTCTGCCTCAGTGACTCTAATTTGAGGGGAGAGGTGATCTGGGCTGCATTAACTCAACCCTGGAGGACCCCAATGTTCCACGCTGCTCCTTGACAGGCTGGTTGTAGCCCTTAACATCTAGGGTGGCTCAGGCGCGAGGGGGCCCCACATTTAGCCTTTTCTCTCCAGGTGATAAAGATGTTGTGAGCTTGCACCTGGGACTCTAATAAAGGACTTAACAGCCGTTTTGGGTCAGCAGTAAAATCTGAGAGGGATGTGAGAGCTTGTTACAATGTGGTGTGAAAGAATGCTGCAGCACCAGTAACACACTCTGACACCTCGCGTCCCTTTTGTTATGGGCGGACATGCGCTTGAATAGGCTCGCATACACACAGTCACACACCTGTTTCGTGGCACACACCAATTTACCAGAACTGGGTTCATTAAGTTCACAGTTGGGCTTTGATACAAGAGCCCGTGTGTAGAAATCAGCGAGCTGTCAGACAGAGGTGCTAACCTTTTTGTGGGGTCAGTTTAAAGTTTCTTTTGTATGCTGATGTTCTATGTGCATAAAATACCAACAACTTCAGTCTTATTACGAGGTGATGGGTGTTTTAATTTGGCCAAAGATTTCCAAAGATTTGAAGAGACTCAGGACACCAGAGACACTTCCAGATTTGGTGTTCAGCCTTTAAAAGAAATGCGCAGTTAAGGCCTGTATGCATTGAAAGTGATAATTCACATGCCTGATTTGACGCACATCAGTTGATACTCCTATGGTCATCGAAGGCATCGGATTTAAAATGCCATCACCAGTGAACCTGCAGTATTTCAATCAGGAGAGACTTGTTTTTATAGTAAAGTATAGTATAGATTTTAAAGAATATTTATTAACGTGCACATAAGAATGAAAAAGGAGAAAAGTCTTTGGCGATTAGACCCCATAGAGATGGTATGATTTAAGGAGGGTGATGAATATAAAGTCGAGTAGGGAGCCCACCCTAATTTTTGATCATGATCAGATGGGGAACACAATTTATTTTTTTCAGCTTCAAGTTAATTGAATATATAAATAACCATTAAATTTGTATTGCCAAAATGACCTGTAAACACTCTGAGTGACTCAAGGACTGACCAATCTGTAACAGCACTTTGTTTTCCTACACTGTGTCTCATTGTATCATTATGAATATTGACATTCCTGACGTTATTGTTTCATGTGCAGCATTACAGGCAGGACTGTGAGACATTCCGCACAGTGGTGAAGATGTTGGTGGCCAAGGAGCCCAGTTTGGAAAATCTGCTGCAGGGTCCACTGGATAAGAACCTGCTGGAGATCCAAGAGCGGTGCCTGGATTCCCTCAGGCACTTTGTGAAGGAGCTGGACGACATGTTAAAGCAGCCGGAAACCTCTGCATAAGCCACAGCTCACAGAACACTCAAATCTCCACTTGTGTTATTTCAATGATGTTCTCTAATGAAATAATAGCGACAGTGGTTTATTTTAATATTCATTCATTTTCCATAACTGCTTATCCTGTTAGGGGCCACGGCGGGGCTGGAGCCTATCCCAGCTGACATTGGGTGAGAGGCGAGGTACACCCTGGACAGGTCACCAGACTATCACAGGGCTGACACATAGAGACAGACAACCATTCACACTCACATTCACACCTACGGACAATTTAGAGTCACTAATTAACCTGCATGTCTTTGGATTGTGGGAGGAAGCTGGAGTACCCGGAGAAAACCCACGCTGACACAGGGAGAGCATGCAGACTGGGTTCTTGTGAGGTGTCGATGCTAACCACCGCATTACTGTGCCACCTTTTATTTTAAGATTCATATGTATTATTGTCAAAAGACAGCATATTCGGTGGTGGCACTTTTCCACTTGCTGAAACATAAACACCATTTTAAGACTCACTGCTGAATTAGGTCGTGGAAATTAAAATGGATATTTGTTTACAGTAAAACACCTATAGTATTATGGGTAAAATCAAAAAGCATTATGGACTGCGATGCCTGGAAAGCTTAAGCTATGTTTTTACCCTTAACCATGTTGTCAAATATTATGGTCAGTTGATAACAGATGAGATTTTAACTGGATAGAAATAAAATATTTCTTGGTCTTACTGTTGAATCCTACAAATAAACCAGGAGGACGAGTCAAATAATTTTATAACATGAAAACGTTCCTATCACAGCTTTTAACTCAATGTTAGTGAGTCTCTCTAAAGTGTTTTGTGCTTCCAGTGTCTGTATTTCTTGCAGATGAGGCTGAGTGCAACTTCCGCTAACTGTAACAGTGGTATTCTTAAGACAGTATCAAGGGGTCCAACTCTATATGGAGTACAGCACTGTTTTATATAGAAAAAAACTGATTTTCTATATGTAGATTCTGCATTTTTTGCCATCTTTTGAGTTGTACTCAGCTTGTGAATATTATCTTTTTAGATTTTTAGTTAAACTTTTGTAAATAAAGCCGAGGCCTTTAATAAAGTGACGTCTCCTCTCGTTTCTTATGGCCCATGAAGTACTTCTGTGCAGGAAAGAACAACACAGATCACGATATATAGATATTTTATTACAATTATCATCTATCTTAGCCTTATATTCCAGTTTGTACATTTATACAGATTACAATGATTTGCTTACAATACAGTGACCCATAAATACACCACTCAACCAGGCCTTTTAATACACACAGTGTTTCTCTTTTGTTAGCGCTGCACAAGCCTGGAAGAAAACACACTTGAAGAGCTTGGGTCCGAGTCAACTTGTCAAGTTTCTGACACCCTCGTGGAAAAATGGCCGAGTACCAACTGCCAATCGTTAAATGTTAATGCTGTTTTGGTACAAAGCACGTCATGAACTCAAGGGTATAAAAATAGCCATTTTGTTTTTTTTTTTCTTAATTCTACAATATATACATTAATATTTTCACTGTTAAATAAACAGTTTTGATGGTGGTTTATAAATATGTATTACTCTAAAATACTTTGTTACTTTACTGACAATGTTTGCAATGCTATGCGTACACCTATGAAGACTCAGGACTTGTGTCTTACACACACCTTGGTAAACTGAGTGCTGTGAAGCATTTAATAGCAAGCAGACTGCATTTTAAACAGTGGACATGAGAGGCAGAGATGAGCGGCAAAGCATTACCCAAAGCTGAGGATAAGAGAATAACTAAATACTATGAAATTATGCAGTTTTTCCCCTTGTGCCCTTTCTTCTTTTTGGACTTAGTCCGTAGGCCGTAAGGAGGAGAAGACATGCCTGCAACAGGGCTGGGCAAGTCGTCAGTGTAGTAGTGTCTGTGGGGTCTGGGCTGAGGGATAGGCTGACCCAGAAAAAAGCCTTCTTCCTCAGAATCAGAGGAGGAAGAGGAACATGTGGAGCACCAGTCATCATCATCCCCATACATATCCAAGAACCTCCCCATGGCTTGGCCCTGTAGCCTGTAGTCTGACATGGCAGCAGGATTGGGGTGGCCATGGAAGGCTTGGTGCCCCTTTGGGCCAAGGGCGTGCCCTCTATGGTCCATTTTGTAGCACATTTGGGCCCTCTCCTTGGGCAGAAGGTTAAGAGCATTGTCAGAGCGAGACTTGCGACTGCGGTGCCTCCTGTGGTGGTGATGGTGGCGCCCAGAGTGAAGTTCCTGGCCCTGATCCTCAAAGTGGTAGACTCTCCGGCGAGTCCGTTCACTCATCGGTGGTTGGCGCACTGGGAGATCGCAGTAATGGCCATTGTCCACCACGTCATCAGAGAACTTGACTTGCTGTGGCCTAGATTGTGAACGTGTCCTCCTGAGGGCAGGGACATGAGGTTTGGGTATGTCCTCTGGAAGAGGCACCTCCTCTTCTTCTGGAACATGTTCCTCCACCTCCTCCTGCTCAGATACAAGGCTCTTAAGGGAATTTGCACTTCTGTGTAACATAGAGGAGTTGAGGGTTCCCATATTACTGGTTTTCTCACAGTCTTCTGTCTCCAGCTCATGGAAGCCTTGCAGGGAATATACCAAAGGTCTATCTTTACTATCACCATCTACTGAAGCCCCTGGAGAGGAAAGAAAAAAAACATAAAAATGTTTGCAATTTGACTCAAGACTCAGTTTCATAAAACAATCATTGCTATCCCCTATGCTATCCCCATGTCATGTCTACTCACCAGTAATATTGGAGAGTGCCAGAGAGTCCATAGAGTCTCGGACACTCTGATCGGTCTTCTTGAACTCGTCCGTAATGCACTCCAAAGAGTCATTATACCATTGTGGCTCCTCTCCCTGGAAGCCTCCTTCAGCCCCATGATCCAGCTCCAACTCCTGGATCTTTCTGCTGCTCGCCGGACCTGGGTGGCTACCATAGGCTGAGTCCCCTAGCCCATCCTGTGACTGGGCCCAATACATGTCAGCCTGGTACTTCTTACTGGCCAGGCTCCCCCTTCCTCCTCCACCACTGCTGCCAGCTTTTGATGACTCCTGCTTTGACTTTGCATCCTTTTCAGCGATCCAGAAATCCGTGGGTCTGGAGTCATTGGCTTGCTGGAAGACCCCGTGTTCCCCAAACTTTAATAGCAGCTGAGTCATGTAGTCTTCATGCTCAGCCCACTCCTCCTCCTGGTCCTCAGGTGCCTCGGTCTCATCACCACGTTCCCTCCAGAAGTGCTCATCAGACAAGTTCATGTGGGCAAGCTTATTGGTCAAGGTGTCGTCTGCGTTTCCACTGAAGCCAGGGAACTTGTAGTTGACAGAAGGTGAGAAGAGGAGCGATTGTCGGCACTGGTCGGCTGAGCGACTGCTCTTGCCCATGCGCACACTGCGGCGGGATTCACGTGAGCGTGCTGACTGGAAGGCAGAGTCGGAGGAGTCCGATGCATGCATGTCTTCCCCGACACTGCAAGCCTTGGAACAGTAAATGCGGCCCTGGTGTGGCAGGAAGGGGCAGCCCAGTAGAGAGCTCTTACACTGGGCACAGCTGAAGCAGCTCTCAGTGGCGTGCCAGTGGAGCCCATCATAGGTCATCTGAGCATGATCAACACCTGGAAAACAGGAAATGTTAAGGTGGTTAGCGATACTACTCTGAAGGCTAGAGATTCATGACAGGTGTTTTAAGCCCCTTTCACACATGCACTGAAAACCTGAAATTACCTTAACATTACCCAGAGGAACTGTATGTGAGAAGGAAAATATCCAAATCAGTTCTACATTAAACAGATTTTTCCTTCCAGCTCCTTAGTACAAAGTCTGTGTAATGTCCGATTAAGTCCATGTGTGAATAGAGCAGAGAATTTGCAGCAAACAAGTGGGCATGTTGATGACATATCTATCATGAAGCTCATGCAAACCAGACAGAAAAAACACCTGAGGGTGAAGAAGGAGGGTGATTTGTTTGAAGACGGCAATGAAAATGTTGAGCTGGAGAGACGAAGAGATTCAGGAACTTTTGTTGGTAAGGGTCAAAGCCAAAATCGTCAGACAAATTAAAGTAATGGCAAGAGACTCTTTTTCATGATCAAATTATGAACTGGCTATGTGACTGCAGCATAATCCATGTCATATCCTGCCTCTTGCATCTATCCAGGCGCCACCTCACGCCTAAGCCAAATGGAGCATTCCCAGTAGGTGAGAACGCTTCTGGCATAGACAACCTCCTGTTGTGTGCAACATGTGTGAAAGAGAAACTCTGGAAAATGTCCAGACCTGATTCTCTGGACATTGTCTGGAGTTCAAATGGGAAAACAGCATTATTCTAACCCTAGAAAATAATCTTCTTACCGATGTGTTCTCCACAGGCCTCACAGTACTCTGCATAGAGAGACTCAAAGCAGCCACAACAGTATGGTCTGCCGTCCTTCATGATGTAGCGCTGGCCCCCCAGGATTGTCTCACATTCAAAGCAGGCGAAGTGCTTCATGTGCCAGTGGCGCCCCTCTGCCTCTGTGCACTCATCAGCAAAGATAATCTGCAGACATAGAAGTAGACTGGATAAGATAAAACTGCCAGCTCTTGCCTTCCTGGCTGTCATCAGTCTGTATATTCATGTTGGATTTATTCAAGACAGTGTAGAAATAAATTAGATTTTACTGCTATCCCAGAGTTATTCTGAAAGGCCATAAACTTCAGACTCTGGATGTTTTTCCTTCACTACACTGTTTTCTCTCAGTATTTCAGTTTTTGTGGTTTTTACCTCGTCGCAGGCTGAGCAGCGTGGTTTGAGTAGCTCAGCATGGTGCCTTCCACAGTGGATCTTTCCATCATGGTAGAAGTAGATCAAATCCACCAGCAGTTCGCTGCATGTGGAGCAGGCAAAGCAAGCGGGGTGCCAGCACAGCCCAGGGCCCGCCCTCGAGGAAAACACTGCCATTTCTCCGCCGTTGATGTTTTCACCACACTGTAATATGCAGACATGACCACATGGTTGATTATAACATCCTGTAATGGCTGTAGTTCTGAAATATTCTGTGATAAAACAATCTGAACCCTACATAGGTGGTTACATCTATCACACAACTGCAAGGACATATCTTTTGCCTCAAGCCCTTAGGTGCTCTCCCTAACACAAAGCCTAGCCCATAGAAACAAGCATCGTAATGAGGGGGTAATTATGTGTC